TTCCAGACCATATCATCAATGTAGCGCTACCAAAATGCCACATTGGCCAGAAAAGGGACAAATGAGTCCTCCGAAAAGAGGTCTGCCTCATCCCCCCAGGTGCAGGTTCACGTGAGATGGTGCACAACAGGTCCCCATTGCCGCGCCCTGCACCTGGAAGTAATTGGATTCCCCAAACATGAAGACATTGTGTTTAAAATATACTCAAGGTGATCTAGGATAAAATTGTTATCACCAGAGGATTTAGGACGTTCTCCCAGAAACCTTCGTACAGTCGCTAGTTCTTGCTAATCAACCACTGGATCACCAGGGAATGTGCAGGTGATGGGCCTTTGTCTTTTATTTTGTGTGGGGGAGGGGGGTGGGTTTGTATTCTGCATTCGTGTGTGTGTGTGTGGGTGGAGTTGTATTTGTTTGTGAATAAATGTGTGAATCTGTTGGTCCTCTAGGCAGCGCATTGAGAAACCTGGCCTTGGGTCAGCAGGAGTAAATCCAGTCCTGCTTGTAGACATAAGCAAGGTATCAGATTCAATTGGTCTCATTTGAATCTCAATACAACGTAAAGAGTGTTTAAAGAAGAACTATGGGGTTAGGGTTTTTCCCCATAGTTCTCCTAAGGGTAACGGGAGGACACAAACTAGCGACAATTCTGTCTGGATCCACCCAGCTGCGTAAGTGACAGCTGTACCCGCCCCCTCCCCCGTCCGTTCCGCCAGTCAGCGCTAGACGATCCGAGTGACAGTCACGGCTCTCTGCACGGATAGATCGAGAAGTAAGAGAGCGCCGGTATGTGTTCGCTCACTTCCCGATCTACTGAGCCGACCTGTGACAGTTTCATTGTCACAGGTCGGCTCAGATTATGAGGCTGAGTGAAAATCACTTGCCTCATAATTCTCCTTTTTATATATGGCATCTGATCAGTTTTGTTCTGTAGGAAAAGGATTTTGGCTGGATATATATGTCAGCCATTTTGTTCATCCTTTAGGCGTAGCTTAGCTTGTATAGTATGATAGAGGATTTGTATTGTAATATGAAGCAACTTGTTGTTAAATTAATTCCATATAGAAAAGACCTGACAACACACGCATATCTCACACCCATTAAAAAACGCACACAGATATCACACTACTTTAAACAACGCAAACACTTTTGGGGGCATGCGAGGAGCGGATGATGATGTCTCCCTTTTGACACCGCTTCGCTTCTCCTTGACAATCAGGGAAGGGGGGGAGTTAGCGTGTCACCTTTGGTTCACATTGTCACCTCTGGCTCACATTGTCACCTCCGACAATTGTTTTCTTATTCCCCTTTTATTTCCCCTCTCTTCTTTCTACCATTGTGCGCTGCAGTTTCAACCACTATATGCCTTGCTATATTATATTAACTGGTTGATGTGACATCTTGATTCACTCTACACTATTGGAATTTACTATTGTCGTTTTTGTTTTGGCTACTTTCCATATGTTGTTTGTACCCTCAGTATAATTATTGAACTGTCTTGTAAAATTAATAAACATATTGAACATAAAAAAGCACACACAAACATACGCACATCACACAAACACACGCACATCACACAAACACACGCACATCACACAAACACACGCACATCACACAAACACATAATTAAAAGTTATTGAAAGAATTGCCTCTTCTCCTGCTTGCCTGTTTTGCAGGGAGGGGGCTGCATCCCTGGGGTCCAGTGGGGCACTCATGGATTATCCTGGGGTTCCAGTGGAGGGTGAGTATGATCTGCAATTTTGGCTGATGCAGACCATTCTAATCGCTCCTTCTTGTGAGTGGCGGCACCACAAGGGAGCACTGAGTATAGTCCACATCAGCAAGAGATGCAGATCATACTGATCCTCCACTGGACCACAATAGGATGATTTTCATTTAATATATTGCCGATTTCAGCAATGTATTAAATAGGATCCGGGCACTTTCCAGGTTTAAAGATTAGCGCGACCATCTTTCAAAACGTAATGATGCCCTAACCCGTGGGGACGCCGGAGGCCCAAGCGGAGCCACCAAGGGGAGTACCTGGAGTGTACGGGCAATATTTGTAAATGTTACTTGTTGACTAGCAATAAGGCCTCACTCACATCTACCAAGTAGATGCAATTTGAAATTCTTACAGCAGGAATTCCAAATCTTCCACTTACAAGCAGTAGCTGTTGCCAGTTAAAGTTAATGATCAAGTGACAGTGGCTGCATTTGAAAGTGGCAGAACACTGTCACACTGCATGGAATCATATGTGATACGATTACATTTGGTTGAGAATCAATCACTATCCCTGGATGTGCGATTGATGTGTCCAAGGATAGTGATTGATTCCTAATCGCATGTAATCGGATCACATATGATTACATGCAGTGTGTCGGCATTCTACCATTTTCAAATGTGGCAGCCATCACCCGTTCATTTACTTGAACAGGTGACAGCTGCCACTTGTAAACAAGAGATTTTGAATTCCTGCTTAAAGGAGAACTATGAGGCAAGTGATAATCACTCAGCCTCATAGTTCTAGCCGACCTGTGGCAATGAAACTGTCACAGGTCGGCTCAATGGATCGGGAAGTGAGCGAACACGCTCGCTCACTTCTCGATCTATCTCTGCAGAGAGCCGTGACTGTCACGGATTCCCCCACCTCCCCTGTCCGATCCTCCAGCGCTGACTGGCGGAACGGACGGGGAGGGGGCGGGCACAGCTGGCTCTGCCTCTAGATAGGCGGAGCCAGCTGTCAATCCCGCAGCTGGGTGGATCTCGTCAATAATGTCGGGATCTGCCCCGGCTGCGGCGTCTGTGTGACGGGAGGACGCTAGTTTATGTCCTCCCGTTACCCTTGGGAGAACTGTGGGGTAAAGCCCTGACCCCATAGTTCTTTAAGGAAATCCCAAGTTCCAGCCTCAGAAATTCCAAATCAGACCTACTTGGTAGGTGTGAATGAAGGCTAAATTATGTATTGGGCCTCTTCTTGTTTTTTATTTTTTTTTATTTACTATAGTGATCCTAGATCTCAATTTTATTACAGTAATCTGAGTGGAATCTATAGCAGTTTATTGATCTATTTAGGTGTAGGGTCACTTGCCATATACACTTGTGCTCATAAGTTTACATACCCAGAATTTATGATTTCCTGGCCATTTGTCAGAGACTATGAATGATAACACGAAAACCTTTCTGTCACTCATGGGTAGTGTTTGGCTGAAGCCATTTATTATCAATCAACTGTGTTTACTCTTTTCCAATCATAATGACAACAGAAACTACCCAAATGACCCTGATCTAAAGTTTACATACCCCAGTTCGGTGTGTTGCCCCCTTTAACATCAATGACAGCTTGAAGTCTTTTGTGGTATGTGTGGATGAGGCTCCTTATCTTCTCAGATGGTAAAGCTGCCCATTCTTCCTGGCAAAAAGCCTCCAGGTACTGTATATTCTTGGGCTGTCTTGCATGAACTGCACGTTTTGAGATCACCCCAGAGTGGCTCAATGATATTGAGGTCAGGAGACTGAGATGGCCACTCCAGAACCTTCACTTTATTCTGCTGTAGCCAATGACAGGTCGACTTGGCCTTGTGTTTAGGATCATTGTCATGTTGGAATGTCCAAGTACGTCCCATGCGCAGCTTCCGGGCTGATGCATGCAAATTGTCCTCCAGTATCTTTTGATAACATACTGCATTCATCGTGCCATCAATTCTGACCAACTTTCCTGTGCCTTTGTAGCTCACACATCCCCAAAACATCAGCGATCCACCTCCGTGTTTCACAGTAGGAATGGTGTACTTTTCATCATAGGCCTTGTTGACTCCTCTCCAAATGTAGCGTTTATGGTTGTGGCCGAAAAGCTCAATTTTGGTCTCATCACTCCAAATGACTTTGTGCCAGAAGGTTTGAGGCTTGTCTCTGTGCTGTTTGGCGTATTGTAAGCGGGATACTTTGTGGAATTTGCGTAGTAATGGCTTTCTTCTGGCGACTCGACCATGCAGCCCATCTTCAAGTGCCCCCTTATTGTGCATCTTGCAACAGTCGCACCACATGTTTTCAGAGTGTCCTGTATTTCACCTGAAGTTATTTGTGGGTTTTTCTTTGCATCCCGAATAATTTTCCTGGCAGTTGTGGCTGACAGTTTAGTTGGTCTACCTGACCGTGGTTTGATTTCAACAGAACCCCTCATGGTCCACTTCTTGATTAGAGTTTGAACACTGCTGATTGGCATTCTCAATTCCTTGGATATCTTTTTATATCCCTTTCCTGTTCTATACAGTTCAACTTCCTTTTCCCGCAGGTCCTTTGACAATTCTATGCTTTCCCCATGACTCAGAATCCAGACACGTCAGTGCAAGGGTTTGTCAGGAGGTCAGAAACTCATTGGCCTTTTATACACACACACTGATTGCATGCAAACAGATCACAGGTGAGGATGGTTCCCTTTAATAGCCATTCACGACCCTTTGTGTCAACCTGTGTGCATGTTATCAGGCCGAAATCACCAGGGTATGTCAACTCTTGATCAGGGTCATTTGGGTAGTTTCTGTTGTCATTATGATTGGAAAAGAGTAAACACAGTTGATTGATAATAAATGGCTTCAGCCAAACACTACCCATGAGTGACAAGTTTTCGTGTTATCATTCATATTCTCTGAAAAATGGCCAGGAAATCATAAATTCTGCCATGGTATGTAAACTTATGAGCACAACTGTATAAACCATAGTTAATCATTTTGGAAAATTAAATTTGCTGGTTTGAAACATCACGATGGTCTTTTATAAAAATTAAAAACAAATTAAATTGAGTTTTGTGTGTTGTCTATGTGTGTGTTGTCTATGCACAACATAATGTTCCTTAACGCACCACAAAAGGCTGAAAGTGTTAATTCAGCTTTTAGGGTTCAGATATGGGGAGAGATAATTGTTAGGATATTACTTGTTGCTTTATACTTGTGTTGTGACATGCTTTTCCTGTACATTTTTTTCTCTCGCCTTGTTATAGGTTTCAGGAACCATTGTAGACAAAAGTGGGCGAACTCTTTCTGGTCAGACAGGGGAAGCTTTTGTAATTAGTACATCACACGCTGCTCCACTGTGGTAAGAGGACCAGTACTCTGTTATGACGTTCCTATAATAAAACTGAACAGTTAGGGTTGTTGCCCACAGCAGTCTGTTAAATGTAACTTTATTTTTGTAAACTGCCTATAAAAAATTACATCTGTATTTTGCCATAGGTTAGATCTCCATATTTTCTATCCCTTATTTTTCTAAGGGAGGCCTATTATATTTAGCAATTGTTTTTCAAGTAATGGATCCAAATCAGAAAATATACATTACCTAGCAAAGTATTTCTTTACATTTTTGTCCAAACACCTATACAGTAGTCATCTTTCGGGTGTCTCACCAGTCAGTCATAAATTTCACCAGTCAGCATGACTGGACTATAGCCTTGCAATTTGTTAAAATTTTTACGGACAGATAGAGAATGTATTGTCACACACAGAATTTCACCCATTTGATCTCACTCATGTTCACCAGTATGAGGTGAATTTCACTTATTCATTTTGTGAGTTTATTCATTCACATCCAGACTGAGCGCAACGAATTAGCATCACTACACACGATTACTAAATCACAGATTGTTGCAGCTAGTCCATTGTTCAGAGCACAATTATACTCTAGCACAGCTCTTGCCATTATTCTACACCTGCAGTCCCTTCCCTACAGGAATTGTTGTACTTTATATACTGTATGTGCCTATGTCCATTGGAGATGGGGTTCTTTTTCACTTAAGCGGGCTAGCTTAGCCTTGCATGAAAACCACATGTAAGAAGTGGACTGTTTTCTTCAATACATGAATTTTTTTGCGGCCCTCCCTCTCTCCCATACCAGGCCACATGTCCTCGGTACTGGGAGGATACTTTTCCAGGAAAATTGTAGAAATGTCACCAGCACACCAGTCCTATTAAGATAGCAAAAGCTTCATTTATTGAAGTTTTTTGTCATATGAAGCTTTTGCTATCTTAATAGGACTGGTGTGCTGGTGACATTTCTACAATTTTGCTGACATTTGCGGCGCCATCCGCGGTCACTGCGAGCACCCCCCACTACAAGGGACATATCGGTAAGGAGTGCGACAAGGAGAGTACTCACGATACTTTTCCAGGGTCGCCCCTGAAAAAGCACCTTATCCCCGTGCCGATGGGGACAAGAGCCTCTTCCTCACAAGCCCTGGGGCATTGGTTGTGGGGGGTTACTCACAACAGGGTACCCAGATGCGGCCCCCCCCCTTGTGAATGAGTAAGGGGTACTTGTACCCCTACCCACTCACTAAAAAGTTTAAGTAAATTGTAAAAAAAAAACCTGACTTTTGGAAAAAATCCTTTTTATTTGAAAAAAAAACCACAACAAAGGATTTTTGACAAGTCCTTTATTGTAAAAATAAATAAATGTATCCATTGATCCATTGGTCAGGTGCAAGCCTTTAGCCAAATAGGGCTTCACAAGGCGTAAAGCATTGTGGGGCATTCGGCGGGCAGACACACAAACTAGCAATGTTCGAATCGAACTCGCATTTGGCTCGAACATTGAGCCCATCGCTACTTCTGAGCAGTAAATGCCAAAAAAGAAATCATGCAATATTTTATATTTACCTTTTAATAAAAACATTTTTTTTTTAAATCCGATCATTTTTATTGAAAATGTTTGCAAAGAAAAACATAAAACAAACCGTGAGGAACCAAAAATACAGCCATGACACACCGTAAGAAGCCATGAGCAAACACTGATGCGCAAACACGGATACACATGTCTTATAGTATAAAACGCACACAGGTCTCGTATAAAAGCACAGACAACAATAGTAGCAGATAGCCATGTGTATTCACAATAGCAGTAATAAAAGAACAAGATCAGCTGATAACAATCATGTGGCACGGTAATTTAGCCATTGGGACCAAATTGAGGAAAACGTGTTGTTAAGCCTACTCCGCTGATAGGATTATTGTTTATGAACGTATAACATATCTAATTCAGCTATCCATTCTGAGAGTGAGGTGGGGAAGCTTATATCCATTTACGTGTAAGGAGTCTCCTAGCAGTAAATAAAGCTCTGTGGAGGGCCACTCTTATGAGTAGACACTATATAGAAGAATCTAATCCTCCTAGGAGGTAAGTGAGTGGTGAAATGACAATGGAGACATTGAATCCGGAATTAAGTGTGGATATTATTTGACTCCAATGTCTTACCAGCTTAGGGCATCTCCACAGAAGATGCATCAGAGAACCTTGGTGAAAGCCACATTTCAGACCAGATGGATCAACATGAACACCTATACAAACCAAAAATTCGGGTGTGCGATATGATCTATGTAAAATGAAAAGTTGTGCAAGTCTGTGTGTAGCAGAGAGGGGGACAGTGTGTAATACATTCTCCCAGAGCTCATCAGAGATGGACCCAATGTTCACCTGTCCCTATTGCTGCTCATGAAATGTGAGTTACATTCCTTCACTCACGTGAGGAGTGAACCAGTGCATCTAAGACTTGAAAGGAACAAATGGACAATGGGGACACCCCAAACTGGGAGGAGAGAGCATGCATAACCTGAAGATATTGGATATTCTTAAGTGAAATTGCGAAGTCAAGTGTGTGAAGGAGCAAAGAGAACCCCCGACTTACAGTTGAGCAAAATAACATATCCATGCCTGTCTCCAACTGTCCAAGCCCTTTACCTTAAACAATTCAGGACACTCATTGTTCCAAAGCAGGGTATATATGGTACAACCAGCAATATTTAGAATGCCCTTTGCAGCATCCCACACACTACCCAATAAATGAAACTGTTGCCAAGTAATAAAGAAAAAAGAAAATGTCTTGGTGTATAAATTGGTTTCCAAAGAGTTTAGTGGATCTGAACCATTAAATAAATAGGTAAGTTAGCCAATTGACGATGGTAGAGCATCTTCATGGCCCCATCCAGGGAGGTGTTGTTGCTGGGAAGCTAACCATTAGAGCCAACGGTTAGGGAGAGCTAAACCCCCTAGATTCTTTGGTCTTTTGCAAAACTTCAAATCTGATACGAGCCTGTTTTCTGTTTCCAGATCAGATCTCTAAAGATGCTTTTAATTTGTTCAAACATTTTTGGGGGGATCCAAGCTGGGGAGTTATGCAGAGCATACAATAGTTGGGGAGTCCACACCATTTTAATGAGGTTGACTCTACCTACAACTGAAAGGGGAAGTTTTAAGCCAGGTTGTCCATTGAAGTTTACATAGCAAGGGTAACAGATTAATATCAATGTATACATCTAAACAAGGAGAAAGTTGAATCCCTAAGTATGTAAGACAGGAGCAGTGGGATAATGAGCAACATTTTTTAGATTTTTCCCAGTTAACAGCCAATCATGAAAAACATGCAAATTGAAATAAGTGAGACATAACTGCACGCAACAAGGCTTGTGTGTCAGCCAAGAAGAGAACAGTGCTGTCCGCATATAGAGCAAATTTTTCCTCTTCCCTACCTTGTCTGAAACTTACAATATCTGGGGAGGTCCTAATCAGCGCGGCCAATGGTTCAATAGCCATAGCAAGGGGGGGGAGAGGACAGCCCTGTCTGGTGCCTCTATATAGTAAAGATTTTGGGGGTAGGGAGTTATTGACCTTCACAGATGCAAAATGAGTAAAGTATAAGAGATGGATCCAATTGCAAAATTGAGGTCCAAATCCAACAATGGAAAGAACAGTCCATAGATAACGCCGTTCAAAACTGTCAAAGGCTTTTGCAATGTCCAAAGCCAACAAAGCCCTATTACCAGTATTGTCAATGGGTATTTGCATATTCATATATACCCTACGAATATTGACAGCAGTGGACTTATTTGGAATGAATCCTGATTGGTCTGTGTGAATAAGGGATGAGATTTTAGAAGACAATCTGTTTGCTAAAACCTTGGCCAGTATTTTAACGTCATTATTAAGGTGAGGGATTGGTCGGTATGATTCAGGAAGAAGGGGGTCCTTATTTTTTTCGGGTTAAACAATAATAGTAGCATCATACATGGAGAGTGGAAGATGGCCCACCGATAAAGCCTCATTAAAGGCCTGAAAAGAGTGGAAAATATAGAACTTTTATAATTCTTATAAACCTCTATGGGGAGGCTGTCAGGGCCAGGAAATTTTCCATTAGAAAAGCTATTAATCATCTTCTCTATCTCTGCATGAGTGATCAGTGCCTCCAAATCAGAACAGTCAGACACATAATGCAGGCAAAGAAATCTGAGATAAATGGTTACCTAGTTCCAAATCCGAATACCTAGCTCCAGACGAATACAGTTTAGTGTAAAACTGGGAAAATGCCTTAAGGATACATAGTTTATCAGAGGGAATGTTATTATCAGAACCCTTAATGGAGCCTATAAATGTGACAGACTGCTGTAATCTAGCTAGCTGAGCTAAAAGATTGCCAGTCGAATCTCCCTCAGCCCTATAGAACTCTTTTTTAAAGAGATTTTTGTTTAATCAGATTTTCCAAAGTTTACATGGCAGTAGACCAGTTCTTGTCAATAAGAGCAGAAGGTTCATTAATATATGCCACTTCAGAGTTCGCCACTGCCTGGCGGCCATCATTTTCCTGATGTCTAGATTTAGTTTTAATGGTACTGACACGCTAAATAAACACCCCCCTCATAAAAGTTTTTAAAGTGCCCCATAGAATTAACAAAGGAGCATAAGGCAAGTTTACGGATAAAAAGGAAGAAATGTCATCCTCCAATGCCGCGTTATCTGTAAGTAATGTCAACCAAAAATGATTTAAATGTCATTGGGCCAAGGACAGCCAGCGATCAAAGGAGAGTTGAACATACAACAGAGTGTCAGAGTGGTCTGACAGGCTTCTGGGTTGAATGGCAATAGTGGAAATAAAAGGTAGGGTTTTGGATGTACCAAGTGCATAATCTGCACAGAACATCATATTGGGGGTTTTAGAGTGACAAGTAAATCAGTTGGGTGCAAAATACGCCAAATATCCACTAGACCCAACTTCCCGCAGAGCTTGGCAAATGCCCTCAGGGAGGTTCCTCCCCCAGCATTAGGGAATTTAT